GAAGGCCCCAGTGGCTGCTCTCGCATACGGTTCCCTTACCCAGGACAGCGCTTCGTGACCCCATAGAGTGCTCCACCGAAGGCCCCAATGGCTGCTCTCGCATTCGGTTCCCCCCACCCAGGGCAGCGTTTCGTGACCCCATAGAGAGATCCACCGAAGGCCCCAGTGGCTGTTCTCGCATGCGGTTCCCCCACCCACGGCAGCGCTTCGTGGCCCCATAGGGAGCTCCACCGAAGGCCCCAGTGGCTGCTCTCGCATGCGGTTCCCTTACCCAGAGCAGCGCTTCGTAGCCCCATAGGGAGCTCCACCGTGGGCCCCAGTGGCTGCTCTCGCATGCGGTTCCCCCACCCAGGGCAGCGCTTCGTGTCCGCATAAGGAGCTCCACCTAAGAGGCCCCAGTGGGGGGGCCCGCATGCGGTTCCCGTACCCAGTGCAGCGCTTCGTGGCCCCATAGGGAGTTCCATCGTAGGCCCCAGTGGCTGCTCTCGCATGCGGTTCCCCCACCCAGGGCAGCGCTTCGTGGCCTCATAGGGAGATCCACCGTAGGCCACAGCGGGGGTGCCCGCATGCAGTTCCCGGGCAGCGCTTCGTGGCCCCATAGGGAGCTGCACCGTAGGCCCCAGTGGGGGTGCCCCCCAAGGCAGCACTTCGTGGCTCCATGGGGAGCTCCACCGAAGGCCCCAGTGGGGGTGTTCGCATGCGGTTCCCGCACCCAGGGCAGAGCTTCGTGGCCCCAGAGGGAGCTCCACCGAAGGCCCCAATGGGGGTGTTCGTACGCGTCTGCGCCACCCAGTACAGTGTTTCGTGGCCCCGTGGGGAGCTCCACCGAAGGCCCCAGTGGCTGCATTCGCATGCGTCTCCCCACCCAGAACACCATTTCGTGGCCCCATAGGGAACCCCACCGAATGCGTTGCTCAGAAAGGCAGTACTCACAACTGCATATGGTTGGGTCCTTCGCCAGGCTAATTGTTGCGTCTGGGCCCCCCAGGCCTTTCCCCAGCCTCTAAGAGAACTCCTGGAAGGCACCCGAGAGGCAAACATCAGAGATTTAACATAGGACGTTCATTCATGTGTCAATGACTTCAAAGCTCTTGCTGTCCACTGCTCAGAGAACCCGAATCGGCCCGAAAGGCTCCCGATACTCGTCCGAGACAGTCCACAAGGGCTTTGGAAGAACCCCGAGAGGTACCCAAGACCAAAGAAGTCCCGACGACGCCCCAAGGCAGCTGAAAGATGCTGCCAAGAGGCCACCTGCATTCTACATTGCCACAGAGGGGCTCCGAGCAGGACCCCTGGAAGGCCCCAGAAAGGCAAGAAACAGTGAGTTGCCATAGGTTTGGAGGGCCAAGCCTACCTGCTTCTAGAAGACAAACATCTGGGGCCGATGCCAAATACCGTTCTCACGTCCTAGCCAAAAGCGTCCATGGCCGCATTGGGTGCCGTGACGTCCATCGACACTTTCGGGGTGGATACGTCTGTGGACAATATGGCCGTTGCGTTCGGCCGGCGCGGTGCGAGGTCGGAGAAAGGGTAGGTCCGTCTACGGTATGTTCCTGTTCTAGAGCAGGTCCCACATGGTACGCCAACATAGGTTGTTAAATGATGTCTCATTGACTTCAACGTCCTTGCTCTTCCGCTACTCAGTGAGCCCGAGCCGGCCCAAAAGGCTCCCAATATTCCTCCGAGGCAACCTAGCAGGATTTCAGGAGCAAGGACCCCAACAGGCGCCCAGGGCCCAAGAGGGCTCGAAGACGCCCCGAGAGGACCTCAGGGGGAGCTCAAGACAGCCCGAGGGGTCCCCAAGATCAAGTGGAACTTCAGATGCCCGTGCGCAGCCCCATGGAGCCTGCCAAGGCGGCCCAGAGGAGCCCAAGAGGGCCACCAGACCGCCCAAGAGGCCCCCAAGACGCTCCCAAGACAGCGCTGACACAGTGAACGGGCACAGCCGCTCGATGGTCTGAAGGCGCGTGCTGCTATTCGCACACACTCTCCATGGGTCGACCTCGGGAGCGTCCCCGCGCAGCTCCAGCAGCCCCCTCCTCTTCCTCCTCCTCCTCCTCCTCCTCCTCCTCCTCCTCCTCCTCCTCCTCCTCCTCCTCCTCCTCCTCCTCCTCCTCCTCCTCCTCGTCAAGAGTCGCTCCCGGGCGGCCCGAAAGCCCCCAGAGCGCCACAAGACGGGCCGCGGACGGCTCGAGGGGTCCCAGTGCGGACCCCCGGGACGCTCCACCGCTTGGCATCGCTCGGACGTGTGCATTTTTTCTTGGCGAGGACCATCGAGGAGTATCTTTGATCATTTAGCGAAAAAGACACGCACGAAATCGAAAAATGCACGGAGAATGGACGTCCGAGCGATGGCGTGACCGGGGGCTCCCCGGCCACTTGCGGACTTGGTGCTCGCGCGGTCGAGGCTCTGCGCTCCCATGGGCTGTGCCGCGGCGCCCGCACGCCTTGCTTCTGCGTGTCCGCGCTCCGTGGCTGCCTGCGCGCCCTCCCGTGCTCGGCTGCGTCCTCGCTCTTATGGGCACTGCGCAGGCCTGACGAGCTTAGCTGCCTCGATACGCCCGTTTGGTACGCAGCACGTGCCGTGTTCAAAACGTCCGTGCCAATACGTTGCGTGCTGGCTCAACGCATTGGCCCACGTTTTGGCGAACGTGTCGCGTCAGACCCACGTGCTCAGTCTACGTGCTGAGCTCCGTATCCATACGCTGCGTGTGGCGTGTTGCGTATCGGGGCACAGCTAAGCTGACGAAAGCTGGAGAGGCCCCTCCCAACGCGAGTCCCGAAAGTGTTTTAAGTGCCCCCCACGAAGTCTGCCTGGTTTCCGGGTGGACGGCCCACGGGCCACCCCCACCACGGGCCCACGGGCCCGTGGCGCCGCGGAGTCTGCATGGCTTCCTGGTGGACGGCCCACGGGCCACGGGCCCACGGGCCACCCCCACCACAGGCCCACGGGCCCGCGGCGCCGCGGCCGCGGGCCACCCCCGGCCACGGCCCGCGGGCGCCCCGGCAGCAGTCCCATGAGGGCCCCCCAGCAGGCAGGAAGTGCGGATGTTCTGTATGGCTGGTGGCGTCGGTGCGCGAACAGGCTCGCACACTTCGACTCTGCAGCTTCCAGGGTGTCCCAGAAAGCTCCAGACGTCCCCAAAATCGCACCCAGACTCAAGAGTGCCCCTGGGCAACTCCCCGAAAGCCCAAGCTCGTCCCACGACGCCGCATGAGGGCCCCCGGATGAGCTCAAGACGGCCCCGCAAGGCTCCAAGCTACCCCAAGATGAGCCCCAAGATGGCCTTGAGAGACCCGCAAGAGAAACCAGGGGCCAAATTTGCCGACAAGGGCCCCACGTCGGCCGAAGAGGTCAGCCAAACGAGCCCACAACGGCAGGAACAGATCCACAGGAGGCTCTTGGGCACGTTCCCTGGCACGTCCTCTGGGCCCTCACACGCACCCTGAGGCCCTCAGACCGCATTCAGACAATCGAGCGAGATGTGCTTACACACAAAGCCGTCGAGTCCAGGCTGCCCCCTGCCCGTTCTGTCTTGCCATCATCATCACCATCATCATCAGCAGCAGCATCATCAGCATCATCAGCATCATTATCATCATCACCACCATCATCATCAGCAGCAACAGCATCAGCATCAACATCAGCAGCAGCATCAGCATCAGCATCTGCATCAGCATCATCATCATCATCATCATCATCATCATCATCAGCATCCGCATCATCATCATCATCAGCAGCATCAGTATCATAATCAGCATCAGCAGCAGTATCAGCATCAGCATCGTCATTATCAGCATAAACATCATCAGCAGCAGCAGCAGCATCAGCATCAGCGCCAGCATCATCATGAGCATCGTCATCATCAGCAGATCAGCATCATCATCGCCAACGTCATCACCACCATCACGGATCATCACCATCATCATCACCACTAGCAGCAGCAGCAGCCTCATCAGTATCATCATCATCAGCAGCAGTATACCAGCATCAGCATCATCAGCAGCATCAGCATCATCATTGGTGTCACCACCATCATCATCATCATCAGCATCAGCATCAGCATCATCATCATCAGAATCAGCAGCAGCAAGATCATCAGCATCAGCGTCACCATCACCATCAGCATCATCAGCATCAGCATCATCATCATCATCAGCACCATCGTCATCGCCATCGCCATCGCCATTCCTCCATCCATCCATCCATCCCTCCTTCCCTCCTTCCCTCCCTCCCTCCCTCCCTCCCTCCCTCCTCTCTCATCCGTCCCCCTCTTTCCTCACTGGTTCCCCCCCTCCCCCCGCCTGGGCACGCATCTCCATTCTCTTTCAAGTATCATCCTCCCTTTGCACTTCTTGTATTCCTTCCTCCGCCTCCTTCTCCAGATTGTTTCCCGTTCATTCCTCTACCAACTCTGTTCCGTATTTCTGTTCCGTCAGTTGTTTATGTTTGTTTTTTTTCCGTCGCGTGCCTCTGTCTCCACACCTCTTGCCCTGTGCCTCCTCCTCCCTCCACCGTCTCTGTTCTTGCGTCCGCCTCTTCCCTCCACCACCACTATCTGCAATTCCGTCTTCCTTCAGGATGGCTCAACTCTGCCCTGGTTTCCCTCACCCGCAAAGTTCCACCAGAGGTTCGTCCCGCTGGACTAAAACCTAAGCGCGCGAGGTGCCCGCGTGGTTCCTAAGCATACATCCAGTGAGAGGGGAGGACGCACTAAGAGGAACAGGAAGAAGAGGGGGAGGTGGAGGTGGAGGTTGGAGGTCAAGAGCGAGGCAGGGGAGGAGGAGGAGGAGGAGGAGGAGGAGGACGACGACGACGAGGAGGGTGGAGGGGCGGAGGAGAGGAGGACGATGAGGAGCAGCAAGAAGGAGGAGGAGGTGGAGGAGGAAGAGAGAGAGCGAGGGACGGAAGGAGCCTCCTCCTCCAGCCCCTCCTGCTTCTCCTCCACCCTCCGTCTCCCTCCCCCTCCCCTCCTCGCCCCCCTCTCCTCCCGGGAGCG